CCTATTGGAATGTCAGTATCAAATGAAATTAGTCACCCATTGGAATTTTCGAGCAATAAGAATTCAGTCGTCCATGATTACACAAAGCGGTCGTTTGACTTCATCGCAATATTTCCCTCCGTTTTATTCTATCAAAGTGCTTACTAATCCAGGTCGGAATGTGATTCTACATCATCCAAGCCTCGCTAGGACTCATGTTGACTTTGGCCGATATCAAACATATGGGTTGCTTAAAAAGTTTCAAATCCGTGATCAGCTCTTAATTAGGATTACCCTGAGGACAATAGCTACCACTTTTGTGTAACCGCAGCCGGAAATACGTAGAAAAGCATGTAGAATATCAAATTTATTTGTCTTCGTATCAGAGGAATTAGTAGACCTGAAAGGGAAGAATAATCAAGAGGTCGCATTTTAAGTTCTCCGCAAATGTATTTATCAATTAAAGTTTAAATTTTACATTTTTGAGCTTACTTTCATTTCGAGTGAAAGTGTTTGGTGAAGAGATGCAAAGGTCGATTCCATCAGAAGACGACGGCGGATTCCTCTTTACCATCTCTAGATTGGCTTTACTGGAACATTCATATGGACGCTGTTTCCAAGGTAATCTCATTCGCTTTCTCTAAAGACGTGCTGAGCTTTTATCCATCGTATGACGGACATTATCAGAGCAGAATGTCATCTTTTCAGCCAAATTCAAGTAAACGAATCAAGAAAACTCAGCCTGTTTTCACCGGAATCAAAACAGATCACCTCGGAAACAGCGTCACCATGAATGTTCCAGTAAAGCCAATCGACAGCTGGTCGGGAGAAATCAGCCATTGTCTTCTGTTGGAAGTGATCTTCGAATCTCTCCATCAAATATTTTTACTCGAAATGGAAGTAAGCTCAACAATTATTAAACAAGAGGTTCCTCGAAATTCAACTATTCTTCGCATAAAATTTAATAATTCGACACCCGTTTAATCGAAGTTTGGATGCAAAAGATGGTAGATATTAAAAATTTTTAAATAATTTTTTCCACCGAAATCCATCATCACGTGGGGCTATCTGGCTCATATACATCCTGACGACGCCACTTGAGATTACATGCCAATCTCGTCCTTGAATATCAGAATTAAATAAAATGATTTCGTCATTAGGAAATTTTAAGCTTTATCCTCTAAAAGTGTTTCATTATCCGGGACGAAAATGTCACTATTTTAAATAGGAGTAATCAACATGTACCGGGCAAGCCATTCATATATAAGCATAAAGAATGTCAAATTTCTTACTTGAAGATAAAAACGAGTAGAAGGTCTAGAGTGGGATAAGGTAAAATAAAGACGCTACTTCCTTGCTTCTCCATGCATGCATTTATTAAAATAACACATCAGGCTTGAGAAGAGTTTAGAGTATTTGCATATTTCATAGAGGAACCGGGATAACTGAAATGATTATATAAAAGCTGGTAATTATTAAGAATTTGATATTATTCTAGAATTTTTTTGACCTTGTTTTCACAACTTGAATAGACTGGCAGGAAGACCTAGAGGAACGCCCGTTGTCCGGAGCCCAGAGTATGAAAATTCTCAGGGCAAGACCGTGCATTTGGTACATTCCCAGACTCTTCGCTGACATCGTCATTGATCCTTGCCAGTGTTAGCACCACACCAGAACTCCTCAAAGAGACAAGTTAAGTCGATCCTTTGATCCTTCAGTCCAGTTTTATCCATTTATCCTCTATCTTCGTAACTCACCTTCTCCATCACAATTTATTATTTGCATTGTGTGCCCTGTTAAGCAGATTTAGGGATTCCTACTCCCACTCCCGGCTGGTTCCCACATCCTTTTCACCGTGCTGGGATTGCTGAGGCAAAGCTACAGTTTAGTCCTTCCTTCAGATCCTGTCAGGTATGATCCGTCTTGTATCTGTTTGGTTCAACGATTTCACTCGATCGCTGCCACCAGATCAGTGCTAACCGAGGCCTCAAGCCTATGATAGCCCGTATGCACCAGCAGCACTGACAAGCCCCAAAATCTGGATTCTCCATTGGCATGGCAACCTATTTTGACACTGTACCGCATGTGCATCGAGTAAATCGTGTAGTCAAGCCCTTATTTCATTGAACATGTTTATGATCAAACTTATCCACTAATCGCCGACTAACAATGATCTCGATCGTATCTCTCGCTCTTCCATCCCCAATGCCAGGTTCATTAATTTCGTATACCCTAGTTTAGTGGTTCCCAAACTTTTTCTAGTCACTTAAAATTTTTCCAGTATGACTATTAGTAAGTAAGAGATAACAATAAATAAAACTTGTGTATCTTTATTATTATTTTTACTTTATTGACATTAAATTAATATTTAATAATTAATGTGGTAGATGAGCCTGCAAATCACTACACATTTTCTCAAATTGCAGCTTTTACAATATTTCGTGGCGCCGCGGCGCACAGATTGGGAATCATTGCCTTAGTTTCTTGTGCGCCAAATCCCAAATGTTAGAGTTGTTCAACTCACTTTGATTAGTCTCCCTGTCAACGCCCAGTCTTGGTTTCCGATTGTTCCTCTGTGTTTTCCTTGTTATTACATTTCCTCAAATTGAAAATATTTCATTGATCCAGTCATCTTATTTTTGCTGATCCTGCTGTTGCCTGATCTCCTCTGAGTTAACTTCGGCAATACTCAAACTTTCCACTAATGCTGCCATCTTCAAATCTTCTGTTGATTAGATTTCTTTCAGTTAGGCTATTAATGGTCTATGGTATCTTGCATCTTGATTTATCTTCACCAAATGCATCCAGCCTTTCTGTCAACTTTTTGTCCCTTCCGTGAAATCTATTTCGCTATTTCGGATCTTTCCGAATCTATGTTCCTTGATTCGTATGTCGATTTATCTTCCTGTTCTACCAATACACCTGTAATACCAGATTCCGCATTTTATGCTATAGACTTCTGAGCAATCCAGCTTGTCAACCTTCTCGTGTTGCTTCTATGGCTGGTGAAAAGGGTTGTCTTTTCCTTTTTCATCACCTCGATGTTTCATTTTCTCAAAAAATGTCGCAATTTTTGGCTCAGTTTATCGAAGGATTGACATATCCACTTTTGGTCGTCCTCCTGATTTCTGATCTTATTTTCACAAAATCCAACTTGACATCTGCTCCTTATGATCGCTATGTTTATTTATAGGAATTCTCTGAGACACCCGTTACCGAGGCAGATCCGAGTCAGTTTTTTCAACTCTTAGTCCCAGAACTCAGTGTCCGTTAGTCTTAGGCTCCTCAGTATTCCGATCTTTAGTCTGTAGTTGTGATGAGACTAGAAATTGAGGATCCTTCCTGAATGGTCTCCCCTTGAGGGCCCTGCTGGAGCACATGACCTCAACATGTCGTTCCTCCTCCTCCCCCTCTATTGTCAATTTAATTCTTCCATCAAGTTGGTTTGTAAAGTTAAGTAATTCATCTAAATCTTTCTTGCCATGCGACCAAATTGCAAAGTAGTCATCCAAATATCGTATAAGCACTCTTGCCTGCAGCGGTGACTTCTAGAATTCCTTTTGCAATTTGTCCATGAAATCATTTTATATTTACTTCTAAATTCGTCGCTAAGTTGAGCCATAGGGCTTAGATACGTTGACGAGGCAACTTGAACTAACTCTTCAATCTATTTCTACTGGAATATCATAGATAAAGGAAATTGGCTAGCTACTGCAACTTTATAGAAATAAAACTTCACTTATTCCCGATAAATGAAGCGATCTTCCGAAATTTGTAGCAAGATGTTCTACTAATTTATCCTTTAAAAGTCATTTCTAATACAGGTCGGAATGTGGTTCAGTTTTCCCTAGGCCTGGCTGTGCTCGAAACCAGTTCCAATGGCCGATATCGAAAACAAGCAAAACAAAGGTCGATGCATAAAAGTGGGTTGATCTCGCTTCTGCAATTTGGTCTTGCTATCAGAGCGACTTAATGATAGGGCAATCGTTTCGGCAGAAAGGTTCGACTTTGCTGATAATGCCGTCTACGATGCCGGAGAAACGTCTGAGAATGTACCAAGTAGACGTTCTGACGCTGATGATAACTACTAAAGCAGACTACTTCGGACAAGGTAGGTCCGACTGAGTCACCCTGACAACAAGACCGAGTTGCGAAAACGAGGTCAACCCACTTGTAAACTTTTAGAGTTTCCGAATTATTCATATAACTTAAATAAAAACATAAAGCTGCCTAAGTCGTCTAGGAGGCTTTTTGCGTCTCCATTCTCTTCCGGATGGTGTCATAAGGCTTTATTCTCTTTTCATTTTCCATGAGCCCAACTACCAGAAAAGTCGACTGAATCGCTGGTCAACATCTTTACGAATGGCCGCTAGGACAAGAATCTTCCTAACCTGCATATTCTGGATCATATAACCTAGTCTGGAAGTGGATTATGGGGTTCAACTCCGAACTCGAGTCCAGCATGTGCTACATGCGCTGGTATCGTACGATGAGAAGTTGGGCTTAGCAACATAATCAACCCTTTCTCGACCCTCAAACTCAATGCATAAAAGGCAAGTACCGATGCGCCCAAGAATTAGTCAAGCCCAAGTTTGGTTGTGTTCGACCCATATGAGATGCATGGGCTATTGGTCTACCTCATTTCGAGGAGAAATGGTGAAATAGTGAATCGGCAATCGGAAAAATTCTCTCATTCGTTGAGCCGACTGCTCGTAATAGTTACAACTTGTGACAAAAAAGCCTAGTCTACGGCAGAAATAAATATAAAATGAATTAAAGCAGGGATAATATATTTATATACAACTGCATATTTATATATAAATATACGCCCTCGTGATGTGGTGAACAAGTTTAATACTTGATAAAAACAATCTATATCAAAAGAGGATTACAGAGGCTATATTTGGCCGGGATGATAACCTTTGGCCAACTGAAACTCAAGCGAACTATGAAAGATAACCAGCCACCCACCACATAAGGCGAGAGGATGAAAAATTGTAGGCGTAGTTTAGCGTGGGCTCTCACTTACAACGAAGATGCGTAAAAGCGAGTCGGAGCAGGGATTTCAGACTGAGGTAGAGAGCAAATGAGAGCGAATGCGAAGAGAAAAAGGGACAACTGAAAATCGGCTGTTCAGGCTCATACAGAAACATACAGAAAAGTGGACAACCTCTGCTCGTCCACTGTTCATAAGCTACAAGAACGTCAGACCTATCAATGCTCAAGAGGATTTGGATACAGGCTGTCGAGAGTGTAGTAGAAGAGAGTTGAGAAGAGAAGAAAGGACTAATAAAATCATGCTGACTACGGCGATTTTCCAGAGGCGGGAGACGAGAGCGGCTGGTCTGGAAGGGAGAAAAGTAACGGGGACTAGGAAATTCTGCTAAAAAAGAACTTGGCTAGTAGACCATGTCCCAGTTAAAGGCTTGAAATGTCTGTCACTATTCGAGTTTGAAGTGGGTTTGAGGCACATGTGCCCGCGTTTGGTGTGTCTGTCGGTATTTGTTTTTGTGGGTGGGGCTAATGAAGCTGCATCAAGTCTGCATGTCCGTGATGCCAGTTGGGCTGTAGCATCCAGTGAATGTGCATGTTTGATCCAGATTGTACAGTTTGACTCTTCAGCCAATTGAAGTAGGAGAGCTTGACGAGGATCTTGAAAGTGTTTGCTATTTTGTGTCCAACAAAATATAGCATCTGGAATCATACATAATTGAAAGGTTGAATAGAAATCTCTTGAAATTGCTGTCCTGCATGAAGATGCAGGCCCATGAAAGCATATTTGTCACATAAGTCAACAATTATGGTGTACGTCGAGAAAGTCTCATCTTCAAGGGTTCCTGCATGTGACCATCCATTTCATGAGATGGAAAACAGAAGCCTCCTATGCTTGGCAACCAAGCAATAGTGGAGAAAGGAAGCCCAACCTCGTGAGTTCTGACACCAGAAGGACCCGACGAAGCGGTATTCATGCGGTCGGAGCGAAGAGGAGAGTAGAGCAAAGTGGCCGATCAGGCTTCATACTCGTAGACCAGAGACTTGTGCGTTGAAGAAGCACTTCCCGCCGGCCTGTAGCTAACCGGCCCAGACCCTGTTCCTGCGTCCGATTGTTGCGTTTGACTGTTTGGCGTCATGGCAACTGTCTGTTGTCTAGTCGTCCATCGGGTGGGTGAATGAGAGACAGCTCCGGTGGAGGCTGGTTGTCGTATTTGCATGGCCGGCAGGCCTAGACAAAGATTGAGGCTGGCCAGATCCGAGGGGGCACTGTCAGTTCGTCCGGTTGCCAGGGGATGATGCGAGACGCCAGGCTCCCGATGCTTCAGCATGTCCATGCTGGGAGCCTCTGAGGCGGGCCAGTGCAAAGGAACTCTCCGCTCGCTGTAGACGCCATATGAACTTTGGCCCGGTCGTTGAGAGTCTGCAAGACACGGAAATGCGAAACCAATTAGGCCATTTGGGGTACACTATTTGGGTATTAGTTGGTTCAAAAACAATCACCAATTCTATGATATAAACTTACTTTAGAATAGAAACTTAGTCACCTGATTGTTGAGCTTACTTCCATCTCGAGTGAAAGTGTTGGGTGAAGAGATTCGGAGGTCGGTACCACCAGAAGACGACGGCGGATTCCTCTTGACCAGTTGTAGATTGAATTTACTGGAAGATTCATATTAACGCAAATTTTTTCGACTTCGGCGAAAAGGTGCTGAGTTTTCATCCGTCATGTGACGAACATCATCAGAGCAAGTTATCATCTCCAAAACCAAATTCAAGCAAACGAGTCAAGAACGAGTTTTTTTCTGAACGAAAACTTGTTGGGCTTACTTCCATTTTGAGTGAAAGTGTTGGGTGAATAGATTCGAAGGTCGGTACCACTAGAGGACGACGGTGGATTCCTCTTGACCAGCTGTCGATTAACTTTACTGTTTACGAGGCAATCTCCTTCGATTTCGGTGAAAAGTTGCTAAGCCTTCGTCCGTCATATGACGAACATCATCAGAGCGAGGTACCATCGTCACAACAAAATTCAAGCTAACGCGTTAAGAAAACTCACCAGCAAATTCCTAAAAAGTGGTATATATACTGTACATTTGGCCTCTTCGATCAAGTATAAAGTGATTTGGTTAGTTAAGGTCATATGTCAACTTCGATAAATGCATTTTCACTCGAGATGAAAGTAAACTCAACAATTATGAAACAAGAGAGTCCTCGAAACCCAACTTTGATTCACATATATTAGTCACCTGAGACTGCTTAAGGGGATTTACCAACAGATAGCGGGGTTTGTCACAAATGGGATACAATTGGGCATCACTTCGGTTTGTGTCTTGAAAGTTTATCACTTCGATACTATGTGATACACAAATTTGGGTAAGAGTTCATTTAGTCCCCTTATCTTCTTAAACGAAATAGGCTTAAAGGATCTACTGGTAATCTCGAAAAACCTGCTTATAAACGAGAGATAAGGTTATTTGAGACTGATGGATGAGATTTCCCAAGATACGATATGCGGATGTCTAAAGAATCCATCGAATTTCACACAGATTTGTCTCCCAAAAGCTTATCGTATCGACACGATACGATACACCATTTTCGGTATCACTAATTTCTTAGTATACATTTGCCTAAAACGAAGAACTTAGTCGACCGAGGTCGCTCAGGGATAAGTAGGCCTCGTGATCCAATTGGATATAAATTCGGCTTGTCTCCCAAAAGTTTATCGCATCAATATGATACGATACGATATATTGTATTTGGTATGAGTTCATTTAGTGGCAATCACCACTTTCATAATACGAACTTACGCCAGAATCGGAACTAGTCAGCCTGGGTCGCTAAAGCTGATTAAAGCACACATAGGATGGGATGAGTAGACCCCACGATACTACTGAATTGCACTTGATTATCGTCAGACCTATTCTGCTATTGTGGGAAAAACTGTGCTATCAGTCATTAATTCCTCTTGATCGACTTGGGATGAGTAATCTCGATACGAGTAGCTCCAGAATCTGTATTTAATGCTTGAAAAGCAGTTTATTTACGCTAAATCGCTTAAGGTACTTTCAGGACTTACAGTTGATTTTGGCCTCATTATGCGCCTCAAGCTCACTTAGTTTTACTCCCAAAGATGCTATCCGGTTCAGACTGGGATTCGATACTGAGTTGTAGGTAAGCAAATCCTCTCCAAACTCAAACTACATAATGGGATTACTGATTAAGCAGATATGCGTTTGCAATTGCAATCGACAATGTTGCTCATTTTGTAATTGAGTAGTTTTCAAGACAATCTGTATCTCATGAATAAGAGCTTAGTCGCATTAGGTGATTAAAGGACTGAAAGTAGACTCTAAGATAGCTATGGTTTTCACTTAGACGTATGAGAAGATGAGGTGAGATTGGAACTGCTGTATCTTATGGATGAGAAATATTTCTGGAAGTAAAATTCAACGGAATCCTGACAAAAACTCAGCTATTATTAGATAAATCAGATTAAACAAACTCATTTTTTATTTTAGAATTGATGATATTACTGAAAGCTACTGATATCGAAATTACTTACTCCAGGTCGCCT